TGTGTGGAACTGTGACAAGGATGTGGTAGGTTAAAGTAGGTGATGTCCAAGATCTTCAAGATGTTCAAGGGCTAGACATCTCCAAAACTCCAGGTGGGAGGATTTACTGTAAGCCTTTGTGGTCAAGTCTTGCCAGGGTGTCACCAGACACAGTTTGTCACATGTCAATTTGGTTGGGTACCTATATGTTTAGCTGTTGGTGGCTAAACTTTTTAGCCAAAAAAGAGGTTGGGTCCATGGTCGTTTAGCCATGGGTCCCTGTGTGCAACACATGGGGTTGGGTCCAGAACTTTCTGGCTAAATTGCTCCTGGTAGTTCATCGTACCTTGGGTCCCACTTCATTTAGCCAGAGGTTGAGGGACCCAAGGGGGGTAGTGTGTAGTGAGCCGGGGATTATTAAATCGTGATCAGTGGTCAGTCTCTAATCGCCTCTAATGGAGTTCTTCTATGTTCTTCATCCATGTCTTGTTTCTTGCTGTGGACTGTAGGGATGTTCACACCTTTGGGCTGCTGAGAAGGCGATGGCCTCGGATGTGACTCTTAGCAGTCTTAGCATCTCATTGCCAAACCATCGGACTGGAATAGGACTGAATCATTTTATAGGGTGCATGATGGCTGTAGTGCTTCGAGAGTACTTGTGAGTCCACAGGAGTCATTTTGACTTCCTACTTGTCATCCTTCGCCTTCCTCAGTGTTGTGACCCAATGGATTCAAGGGGCTTCCGCCCGAAAGCGGGCCAGCAGGGGGCCCAGAGATAGCGGCAGAGGTGAACAGGTAAAAGCGGTTCTTGGCGTTGTGCGTTGTGCTGGTGCTGATGCGGTGGCTGTGTTGTTGTGGCGGTGGTTGTATGATGTTGTATGTGGTTGTTGTTGTCGTTGTGAATGTTGCCTTTCCCAGAAACAGATGCAGACACAGAAAATGCTGATAATGCAAGGCAACTGAGGCGTCGTAACTCGCACCGTGGACTCATTAGCACTGAAAGGAAGGAGGGGTGCCGTGACGGAACATAAACAACACATTCTAATGTTGAAGCATCATGTCTAACTAGTGTCGTTTCTTTTGGGGGGGCTGCGTTGGCAGCATCGGTATTTGCAAGGTTTTCCAGACCCTCCTCTACGCTATCCCGCCAGGGGTCTGCGGCTAGGGGACGCGTCCGTCTTGCCTTTGCCCGGCGGCCTGAACGGTGTCGCCACCCCTGGCCGATCGAATTCCACACGAGAATCGTCCCGAAACTTGCTGCGAGGGTCACAGACAAGCTTCGAAGCCCTGTACAACAAGGGTTGGCAGGGCCATGACCAGCGGGCTGATGAGCAGCGGGCTGGAAGGCGTCCTTTGCCAATGCTGTTCTGCGCGCAACTGTGGGCAGAGAAGGCAGCTTCGAATCC